CGAACACGAGCCGTTCACAAACAAAGAGTCGTTTTGACAACCCTAATCACTTAGCCATAAGATGTTAAGGATTTGGGCAAGATTTAAAAATCATTTGACTCTAAATTAATAATTTTAATTCTATTTTCTTCATTAATACTTTTAATTAATTATAAATCTTTTTAGCATTAGTTTTCAGCCATTTGTTTGGTTGAGGAGAAAAGGTGTGAATATCTAATTTATTTGTTTCGTTTGAAGGAATAACCAATCAATTGAATAATGAAAACTTTATGTTAATCAGGTTTTTGTTTTTCAGGTTGTCATTGAGTTTGTGAATGGAATCATACAGTGAAGTGTGCATATGTTTTAATTTTCTCAGTAAAACAACTTCTTATGCACTGAGAAGTGCCATTTTGCTGCTTACATTTTTAGCTATACTAGGAGGCATTAGGGCTGTCAAAACGGCTCGTTGTTCGCGAACAGCCCGTGTTCGACTCATTCGCTATGTTAACAAGCCGAACACGAATACCACGAACAATACGAACAAATATTTGTTCATTCGTGTTCGACTTGTTTTGGCTCGAAATACTACTAATCAATTATATATTATATATTATATATAAATATATATATGATAAGTAGTATTTTTAAAAAATTATTTAAAATCACTAATGATCATGCCAATTTAGAAGAGTAAAGCCACACAACCTCAACTTTAGTTTTGATGCCATGCAACTCTAAACTCTTACAAGTCATTGAGAAGTCCTTGCAATCAATAGAATAGCTCATGTGATGTCTCTGACAATTCAAATGAGAAATCAAGCCTACTTTACAAGCAACACTCACAACAACAATAAAGTGAATAAAGAATCTTTCACCTTAACTATAACAAAGAAGTGTGTTGACTTATTTCATTTAAATGAGGATGAAATCACTTTCATACCCTAAGTATATAACTTTTACTCCTTTTAATGCATTTCTTATTTAAATTATGGTAGTAATATATAGATGAAAATAAGTACTCTTGGCAACCACTTCCAATTAATGTGCACACCACCATTTAAATGTCATTTAAAGCAAATTAAACATTTTAGATAGCTAAACTTATCAAATTCTCAATCATGAAATTTGAACTTAATAATTCATGTCACATTTAGAGAACCCAACCATTAGAATTTGATAGTTTATTCAACTCAATGCATGTAATAAAAAATCAAACTATAAAATGAAAATATGAAAAATTCTCAAAAGCATATAAATTCTTAAATCACTAATGATCATAAAATGCAATTTAACAAAAATTATAATGTGATAAAAAAATGGTGGGAGTCTAATCTATAGGTTAACTATTTAACTATCAACTTCTTATTCAAAGTTCACAAAACTTCAAAATAAAAATATTAGATATTTTTGACATAAATTAATTTAAAAAAAAAAACATGTTATAAAATTTATACTTATTTGCTCAAGTAAGGTGTGACCGAACTAATTTTAGTGAAGGTAATGATCTCAACTAGCGTCAAGTCAAAATGATAAAGAAAAGTCCTTATTAGAAAGCCATGACTCTTACATTAATAAATAGTCTAGAATTACATGTAAAATATGAATTTTATTTTACAAGAAAATGAATTTATTGAGGTTGAAAAATTATATCATATTTATTAATTTTCTCATGAAATTTTATATTTTATGTCTTATACTCACTACAAAATTAGAAGGAAACTTTAAATGGCTATCATTACACTTAATGATAAGGGAGGGATCATCAAATTACACGCCATCCACCGATGAAAATTTGAGCTTATTCAAGAATTAACTACTCTTGATTTATTATTCACTTGTCATCCCTGGCTGAGTCTCTGAGACCACAAATTCATTGATTTTTTTTAGCCTTGATCAATTGCTCAATCAGGTTCTGGAGATGTCAAAATTTTTCCGTATCATGGCCATAACCCCGATAGTATTTGCAGTACTTCCTCGTGTTCCGGAGAAACCCTCTTGCTCTTGTCTGTGGTGCTTACTTGAAGCGTTCCTTGCTTTGGATGGCATCCACAATTTCTGTCATCGACACCCTCAACAGAGTGGCCCAAGGGCCCACATATTCATCAAATGATCATTCATAGTGTTGAACTTGTCTTTCATAGTACTAAGTTGGTAGCTAGTCACGACTCCTTTCCTGACCTCCCTAATTGTTACTTTGATCAGACCCCCTATTGTCACGAGTGGGTTGGTTATCTTCGTATGACAGTAGAATGGGTAGCCTGGGGTTCTCTTTTAGTTACCCCCCCATTACTCTGTGGGATTCTCTCATGGGTTTGACTGTCTATCAGTTTTGGTTAGGGGATTTTCACCTTAGTGATGATGTGCTCATTGGCCATTTATAACAACTTGGTCAAATCCTAGGGCTCATGCAAACTGAGGTCCTTACAAAACCTCTCGGACCTTACATCCTGCTTCAGTACAGTCTGTGCCATGTCAGAGCATAGATCTTTCACCATTAGCATCTCCTTTTATAATTGTAGAATGTACAAATGCAAGCTCTCCTTAGATACTTATTTAAGCTACCATAAGGACTGCGCAAATTTCTTGGTTCTTCATGTGCTTGCAAATTGTGCTAAGAAAATTCTCCTAAAGTTCAAAAAGGTGTTGATGCTTCTGGTCAGAAGCAAGTTGAACCACCTCATGGTCGATGATTTGAAGGTGGTGAATAACATACAACATTTGAATGATTCTAAGTCCTTAAGTAGGAACATTGCTGACCCGAATGAGAAGATGTGGTTGTTAGGATCCACCAACTCTTATTGGCCTCCAAGATCAAGAGCATGAACTTCTCGGGGGGCTCCGCCCCTGAGATCTAGATAGAGAAGGTGTTCTCTAGTTGGCCTAGGGCCTTGGTGCCCCCAAAATGCTACCGCTTCACTTGTGTGGATTTGGCACTATCCTAGTATTGCCAATCTTTGACCCTCTCCATGCCATGGATCAACCTTTTGTAGTTGTGCATCGGCATAAACAACCCTCATAACCTTCGCGATTTGACCCAGCACTAGGTTCACTTTCTGGGTTCTCCCACTACATGAACTTTCCATAAAGTCTCTAGTACATTCTATTTTGGATATGTACCTTTGTAAATTTTCCTCTTGTTGATGTTGGTTTTGGGCTTCTTCTTATGACATGAATTCAAGCTCACCTCACCTTTTAGAATGTTGAATCTAAAATTGTTTGAGAGACGCACCTAAGAAATAGAGAACAATGGGAAGGAAAAGGGCAGAGAAAGCACAATAATGAATAGTAAAATTGTGTAAACTTTATTCATGAAATGATCCTCTATTTATAGAAATGGGGATGAGAAGATTACATTTGTACCCCTAAAGTTGGTATAGTAGGGGATATTTTGGGCAATATATTGTTATAAGATCAGGGACCTGAATTGACATCTGGTCAGCTTATGATCCCATCGATCATGGCCAACGGATTGACTGAGAGATGTTAGCCACTTTTCTAAGATCCATACGGCTCTTAACATCCGCCCGGCCTAAAGGAGGAGTTTTGTCGGATTTTTTGTGCAAGGTCCATCCTAGTGTCCCTTCTTCTAAGATCCATACGGCTCTTAACATCCGCCCGGCTTAAAGGAGTTTTGTCGGATTTTTTGTGCAAGGCCCATCCTAGTGTCCCTTTGGGAGGATTTGTTGACTTTCATCATGGATTTTGATCTCCCGACCACACTACAAAAATTAAGCATATTTATGTCGGCTTGATCAGATGCAAATCCAATGATATTTAAGGAATATTACCGTATTTGCGTCTGATCTATGTCTAATTTTTTCCACCGTTAATTCGAGGGCTAGTAATGTTTTTCTTCTCCAATTTATGTTCAAATTTTCTGACACAAATAATTTACGTCGGTTGTTACATCGTATTAGTGTCAAATTTATTTATTTGAAAGGTGTGCTTAAATTTGTGTCTAAAAATATCTGATGTTGAATATTATAGCTGATTGCCATGTCAATTTTATCAAAAGATATTCTAGAATGACGAAATATTTTTATTGATGTAGCGTCGGATTTGTGGTCGTGATTTTGCTTCTGAACAGACACAAATTCAACGCAAAAAATAATTTAGAATATCAATTATGTTTCCACAGCTTGTATAAAAATAAATTCCACATCACATATCACATTAACCATAGTCATATTAGAGACCAAATTTCTAAACAATATTATTGATAATAGGAATATACTGTTACAAATCATCTCGAATAAGAATAGTAAAGTTAATCCAAAAAATTCCACAACAAATGTTCAACATAATGATATATATATATATATATATAGACACACACACACTCCATCCTCCTCCTCCTCCTCCTGCAAGGATGTCATTGATTGCTTGCCCCAGCCATCTGCTAAGGTCTCTGTTATGTGCCCTATAGAGTCCTCGATTTTTTGTTGGCCTTCTAGTATCTGCTCGTGGAATTGGTGGATCTTTTCCTTCATTACAACAACCTGCCTGGCAAGAGCCTTTTGGTTTGGTTGTGAGGAGCTCGAGAACTAAGAACTAGACCATGGTAGAGCTCGGCCTCGAAGGATGCACCCTTCATTCGAAGGCCATAAATCCTCCTCTTCTTCCTCCCTGCCGCTCGGGCCCAAGATTCTCACTCAAACTGCACAGTTGTGGACTGACTACCACTGCTGTTGGCAGAAGTCTGGGCTTGAGTGGCCAAGTACCTCTCCCATAGCTGCTCTAACTCCTACAAAATGAAAACCAATGTTTAATTGACACTTCAAACAATTAGAGTCAAAATAAACTTTTAAATTAAGGGTTTTAATGTACAAAAACCCACTGGGAATGCTTTGAGATCCACTGCATAGTTTCTGAGTGCCGATGAGTTTGAATATGCAACTTCCTAACAAAGGGAGCACAACTCAACTCCCTAGCCTGTTTAGGATACAAAAATGGTTAACACTAAAAATTTACTCAAAAAATTGAATTAATGTTTAAATATGTCAAAAAATCTTAACAGATTTCTATCGTGCTCCGTATGTTGGACCGATCCATAAATATGGAGTATTGTTCCCTCGGCCGTTTTCATTGCCCAGTTTGCTTGTTTCATCTGCCTCTTCCTCTCATATTGAAGAGAGGTCCAAGTTGTGGTCAATTGACCCTAGAGCCTCTCACCAATCCAGGCAGACCTCTCGCCCCTCTAGTGAGCTGTCTTGAACATGTTGGCAAGGCAATAACTGCCACAAATCTCGAAGGTTCGATGGATCTGCTGATGGTGCTCTGGGAGCCAAGTGACAGACCATTGTAATGTAAAAAGTAACCAATGTGTTATTAAAAAAAAATCAAAATTTC